CATTAAAAGAAGAGAAATAGAGTAATAAAAATGAGAAGTTGTATTTTATGTCCCTAAGTTATATAGTAATTATATAATTTGTCTTTAATTGTTGGTTGTGCTTACTTTTTAATTCGTTATTAAGTTATCATTGGTGTTACACTTTACTAATGAAACACAATGGACGAAATTTGTAACGTTAGTATAGCTTAGGGACAAAAAGTGAACATGAAATGTTAATAAAATGACGAAAAGTACAACGCTAATGATAGCTTAGGGGCGAAAAGTGAGCATGAACAACAATTAGAGACAAATTCTACAATTACCATATAATTTAAGGACAAAAAAATACAATTTTCCTTATTATAAACTATGACTTATTCTCTTTCTGGATTGATCAAAACATGCTACCTAAGCAGAAAAAAAAAAAAAATTGTTTGCTTGGTTCATAAAATAGCAATTGTGTTAGAATATGCCTTGTGTCAATTGTGTGAGATCATCTGACATGAGACATATAATATTTTTTTGACGTAAAGTGTAATACTATTTCATGGACATATAAAAAGTATTACGTTTTTATTTTTTTTTTAAAAAATATATTACAGTATCTCTTATATTTATATATTATCACGAATCTAAAATTTGATATTTTATATAAAATTAAATTGGAAATTCTATATATCATATTATAAAATAGTACTCTATAGGACATTTTAGTACGAATAATATAATCTTAAAGTTCGTATTGTGATATTGTCACTAATTTAAAAATAATTCTTTTAAAATCAACAAAATCTAAACTAATTAAAGAAATAATTGAAGATATTTTTCAAATAATTTGACAAGAAGACAATTAAAACATTAAAATGTTTTAGAAAATATCAAAACATTATTTATTTAATTATAATAAATTAATTACAAATTTATTCTAGTGCTCAGAAATTACATGCACTATTTATTCTATAACTTCTCTGTTTTAATTTGTAAAAAATGAATCAACCTATGGAACAATCTTGTATCATTCTCAATTACTTTGAATATTGTTTCAAAATTAATTTCGCATTCACTCTACCTATTTTCGTCCCGTAAATCAAAGAACTGGTAAAAGATGTATAAATTAATAGAAAAGGAAGCTAAGTTCTCAATAGTCATGAAGTTTCGTAATTAAACTAGTAATAAATTCAGGTGGAAGGTCAATTTAGGTGCAAACCCAAATTTTAGATCCAACAATTGATTATAAAAATTGTTATTCCCAATCTTATTTACTAGACTAGACTAGACCATCCATGGAACAATAATTTAGTACTTTCTCAATTTCCAAATCTAAATAGTAGAACAACCTCAATAGTTGTAGATTTTTGTGGTATAGCTTTTGCAAGCTATGTAGAAAGAAGAAAGTGAGCAGAGGAGAAAGGGAGGGGGGAACAATAAATTTTGATAGGAAAAAAAAAGGCATTACGTGCTTTCTTGGCGGACAGATTGTTGCACACACGCAACAATTTGCACAAATTTTTTCTTTTTTCTCCTAAAAGTATACTCCACTCCAAAAATATATTTGCAGGAGAAAAATATAACCAAAAACTCCACATTCCCATTAGATAAAAATTATATCCTAATTTCTTTTTCTTGAAAAACTGAGCAAAAATTACTATTGTTGTTACAAGTGATGTTTGGTGAATAACTTTTATATTCTACTATTTGATTTGATACATATTCTTATTTTTTGTTTGTCTACTTTTATTATCTTACTATTGGATTCAAATTATGTTAGAATCATAAAACTCATTATCCTTTCCTCCCCTACTTTTGACCAATAGAATAAAAAATGAGAAAAAAAAGAGTCACTATTCATACTGATAGGATAAAAAAAAACAAAAAATTAATTAATTATAAAAACAAAAAATAAAAAATAAAGAAAAAAAAACAATTTATAAAAAGTGCAAACGAATTTCACTCGCACATATGAGTTCATCAATAGTTGAGAGTTCAATAAAAAAAAATGCAATCAATTTTATAAGTATTGCAAACATGACAAGTTTGCAATATTTATAAAATTAATATTTTTTTGCATTCTCCATTTAGTATCGTATCACTGTAAAATTGATATGAATTCAATCCTGATCGCACTTGCAGGGTTTGACTCTTACTCTAATCTTGCAATTACATTAACAGTCTATTTATCGACTATCTTGAATTGTGCTATGTTAAAAGAAAACAAGTACCAAAAAATTAGATATATCACTTTGTTTATAATAATTAGCTTTTTTATTGTTTGAAATTATAGAATTATTTCATAATTATACTATTTTTAAAGGACATAATTATAATATTTTTTTTTTGAAAATACATAATTATAATATTTTAGTTAACAAAAAAAAAATAAAATTACAAGCTTATAAGAAGACTCGAAATTCCAAGTTTAACGTTAGAGACATTGCTTTATTCATGGAGGCATATGGTTGTTGGTGGTGAATATAGTTTGGTCTTTTGCAAGGTAAAGACTAAAGACTAAAGCAAATGGCCCCACAGACGTTGTGCAACACTGAACAAAATGGTGTCCACCTTCCGGAGCCGTTCTAAAAAAAAAAAAAAAAAAAAAAAAGTGGCCGACTGACTAATGAAACACCATGTGCACAGTTTCCTTCTAGAAGCCCATCTCCTGCTCTGCTGTCCTAATCTTTTCTTTTTAAATTTTCTTTTTTAAAACCCAATAATACATTAAATAAATTAAAGAGAGAAAAATGAAGCGATATACTGTGGAACCGTGAGGGTAAATACGGTTCTATGTTCATAATTACTAAATTATATATTCATAATTATAAAGCTATATATTCATAATTTTTAAATTTCATATTCATAATTATTGAAATTTTTTATTATATTTTGATAGATTGAAAGTAAATTTAATTCAATCAAAGATCTTTCTTTTTTTAAGTCAATAATGTTGGGTTTAGTTGGTGAGAACAGTGTATTTTGTAAAAATGACTTGGCTTTAATTTCTAAATTTTAATGTAAATAACTTTGTTAATCTTTTTTTAAGGTTTGCGACAACAATGAATAAAATAATGAGATAAAGTACGAATAAGCTACTGAACTATTTGGGAAACATCAATTAAGCCATTGAACTCAAATAACCCTTAAATAAGCCATTGAATCCGAAGAAAAATAGCAAATAAGTCATTGAACCAGGAAAAAAGAACAATTAACACTTTTAACAGGTAAACTTCAAATTTTTGCTTACTAGATTGCCAAATATTTATTTTATTTACGTTTCTTCTTATTATTATTAATATTAATATTATCCAATGGGATAGTATTATATTTTAAAGTAATTATAATCAAAATAGTTTTGTCTTGCCGAGATTTTATTTATTTATTTATTATTATTTTTTCACTGAATCTTCTATTTAAAAAATAATAATAAATAAATAAATTAGATCTAGCCAAGACAAAACTATGTTGATTATAATTACTTTAAAATATAATAGTATGTAGTGGATTATAATAAAAAAAATGTAAATAAAATAAACATTTGGCAATCCAGTCAGCAAAAACCTGGAGTTAACCTGTTAAAAATGTTGATTGTTCTTTTTTTCGGGGTTCAATGGCTTATTTGAGGGTTATTTTAGTTCGATGGCTTAATTGATGTTTCCCAAATAGTTCAGTAGCTTATTTGTACTTTATCTCTAAAATAATTGAAATAGTAGCCATAAAAGGGATATAGTGAAGTGAATGTAGAATGATTTTTGAATCAGAAGGTCATAAAGTTTAAATTTTATCAATACCACTTAGTTAAGCTCGTTTCACAAAACTTGCGTGATTTATTATACATGAATAAAATTTGTAGAGTGAGACTGTCTCACGAATCTTTATCTGTGAGACAGGTCATATCATAATGAAAATGTAATACTTATGAAAAATGGGATACTAATCAAGAATAAATTATTTGTTACTTACAAAAAAAAAAAAAAAAAAAAAAAAGCAATACTTTTGAGAAAAAAAATGTAATATTTAGGGTTGAATAGTTACTTATGAGAATAAAATGTAATACTAATCAGGGATAAATTGTTTAATTGTTACTAATAAGAGAAAATGTAATACTTACGATGAAAAATATTATACTTTATGTGGTAAATTTTACCGGGTCTGAATGTACGTATGTTTTGGTGTAAAGGTGGTTGAGGATATCAATTCAGGATTGGAGTACAAAGGTCGGAGGTTTCCGAGCCCGTAAAAGCTCTAGAGAGAGAGCCAAAAAAGGTCCATCCTACCGGCATCTCGCTGGGTATTTATAAGGAATTTGAGGGGCCACATATCGAGAGATTGGCATGTGTACCACGTGTCCTTCATGCACTTGGTAATTCGATTGAGTAAGAAGAAACGTGCACGTGCAAGTATATATCTGACTAGCCAATGGCTCACGAGGATCAATTTGAATGCAAAGTATACAAGCTCAGGGTCTCATCCGAGTAATCGGGTCGGGACCGAGCTTAAAAGGGTTAAGGCAAGGGTGATGAAAATAGTAAAACTTATGTGAGAAAATGTAATACTTATCAAAAATTCAACTCATCTTACGGTTGAGGATACGTGAGACAATCTCAAAGAAATATTTGTCAAATTTTTATTAAAATAACATGATTTTATTGTAGAAAAGTAGGGAGTAATATTTTGGTATTGTTTATTAGGGAGTTACTGAATTTGTAACTTCCCCGTGATTGATTAATGAAGACTGAGAATTAAGAAAGCGCCTCTCGGGGGCGGGCTTGAATGTTTGATTGCCTTCAAGCGTACACCTTACCTGTTTTTCTAGAAACAATTTTTTTTTTTTAAAATATAAAAACTTTCTAATGCTATTATTATATCTATCCTTCCTTTTCCCAAATCTTCACATCCCCTAATTCCATCCTTGCACTCAACACCATTACTCTTAATCATGATCATTGCCCCACCCCACACTAATCTCCATTAACGCTCTCGTCTCTCCTCTTCTTCTTCTTCAACTCTGCCCAGCCGGACCGGGAATGTCGACCGTCGCCGTCGACGTTTCTCGCTTCTTTCTGTTCGAGGTCACCGGCGATTCGTCGGAGGTTGTTAGCTCTTCCGTGGCGGAGGATTTCTGGGCCGACGACGATGCGCAGTCGTGCAGCTGCGACACCTCCGACGCACAGAGCGTCCGTCTCTTCTGCCGCGACGACGGCGGAGAGGACCGGTCGGGATCTAGCTGTTGTGTTGAGAACGACGGCGAAGAAGAAGAAGAAGAAGACGGAGACGAAGTTAACCAGAGCGAGAATCAACAGAAACAGAAGGAATCATCATTGAAGGTGCAGGACGATTCTGTAGAGTTGGTGAGTGAAAAGGACAGGGATAGGCTATTCTGGGAAGCTTGTTTGGCATCCTAATTCCTGATTCCTAATCTTGCTTTGGTTTTGGAGCACCAGATGCGATCCAATTTCTTCTGTGGACTGTGGAGGATCAGAACACATAATTATTATTGCTTCGATTTTTTCTGTTCTCTTTTATTTTTGTTTCCTTTCGAATTCCTAAAAACCTTACTTCATTTTAGATTAGACACAGCTTGCGCTGTAAGCTAAGTGTACATAACATTGAATTAAACGAAGCTGTATCTCAAAATCGGGAAAGCTCCGATACCAATTGCTATGTAATTTATTTTATTCCTTGAATGCCATTGAAATGTTATAATTCAATATAAGAGCAAGCTCATCACTCATCAGTTCGAATTTTCTTTTACACTCTTTGAGAGAATTAATTACCGATTTGGTCCATCGACTATTAAAATGTCACCAATCTGGTGTTCGATTTTCAAAATTTTTCAATTTAATTTTCGATTATGTTTTTTTTTTTTTTACTCAAAATGGTCCTAACCGTTAGACGTCCATTAACTCGGGATCAAATTGGTAATTTTTCATAGTTGAGGGACCATTTCGGTCATCACATGCACCATTTTCTCCGAAAGTTAATTACTGAAATGGTCCCTTGACTATAACAAAATTACCAATTTGGTCCCGAGTTAACGGACGTCTAACGGTTAGGACCATTTCAGATAAAAAAAACATAGTCAGAGACTAAATTGAAAAATTTTGAAAGTCGAAGACCAAATTGGTGAAATTCTTATAGTCGAGGGACCAAATCGGTAATTAAGTCATGTAGGACATCGGTATAGGGAAAAAAAGAGAAAATACCAAAAGCAAAAGAAAACTAAAATTGGAGTCCTTTTATGTGAGATCGGTGGGCGCATGCAGTGCACACTTGCTAAGCGGCAAGTGCGCCCTACGCGCACTTGCAACAACCTTTTCTGATTGTTTTTTTCTTGCAGTTTGTCTCACAAAAATCATTGTTTATTGAATGCATTTTTCTCTTTCTGTATCCTCTCACCTCTTACAAAAAATATAGATTTTGAGGAGTTTTTATCGGTGCGGCTAGGAAAGAGAACATGAAAGAAATAAAAATGGATAGAAGAAAAAAAAAGGTGAGAAAATTATGTGCCTTTTCGCTTCACGCACAAACAAAGCAACTTTTTAACTTTGGTGGGCCCCACTGTGCCGATAAAAACTAGTTCTTAGCAAGAAGACCTCAAAACTTATCTCTCCTCCACATAAGCTTAGATCTCCTAAAAAAATTGAGCAAATTCAACTGATGAAGATGCTCCAACAAGCATACTCTAACATGTACATGTTTTGATGTGATATAAATGATTTTTTTTCCTACAAAAATGTACAAGCGTTTAGCAAAAACAATTGAATTATGTTTTTTATTTTTATCATTAGTTTATATGGTATATGAATGGTTCTTTTTTCCCATGCTGGTGGCTATACTATGTAACTGGTTGTTGGACGGTTTGGTTATTTTCTTGCTACCCTCCCGATTTGTCAAATTTCTTATGTCAAAAGCTAGGCTTCTGCTTACCTTCATACTAGTCTTTGCTTTCTTTCAAATTAAACCTTTGAATATGCAAAAGTCCGCCGCAGAACTGGGTTCCCATTCCCTGGAATGGGTAAAAAAAAACCAACACCAAAAGTCACAAAACCCAAAGTAATTAAGTTGTTTATTAAACAATTTGAGCGTCCAACTCCCCTAATCCACAAGAATTGCGATTTTAATTTTAATAGTGAAATATTTAATTCACTAGTGAAAGATATAGTCGCTGAAAATAATTATTTGACAAATTCATTAGATTTTTACCTTCATAAATTCATATTTAAATTTTGGTGTCTTCAATAGAGTTACAAATTTTTGAGTTAGCTTTCCAATGACACTTGACAACTATAAACAAAGATATATTTAGAAATTTTGAAAGGAGTGATTGATTGGAATTTAGGGACGGAGCCAAAGGGGGCACGGTGGCAGCTGCCCCACCCCATATATAATCTTTGTATGTATATATGTATATATAGTTCAGGTTTTAGTATTAGTATAAAAAAATTATTAAATGTTAATAAGAAGTGAGTTAGATTAGTTGGTAGAGCATATGTTTGATAATAGTAAAGGTCAAGGGTTTGAATCCTTTAGCATCAACACATAGTTTTACCATTTTTCATAGTTTTTTTAATATTTAATACACACATATATAACATTCTACCATTTTCATAGTTTTTTTTTAATATTTAATACACACATATATAACATTCTTTTATATTAATAGTGAGATGTGTAATTTATAATGTGTTTTCTATTCAAATTATTTTATCAAATTAATTATGTTTCATATTTTGTTATGAATATTTTTATAAAGTTTTGATTTGTTCTATTTTTCGCCTATATCCAACTATATCTTTTAGGTAATTTATTTATTTTTTTAATTATCTCTTTTGTTTTAATGTTTCTCTTTTAATGAATTTTTTTTTTTAATCGCCCCCCTCAACAGAATTTCTGACTCCGTCCCTGGATTGGATGAAACATAACATTCGTATTTAAAGGTCAAGAATTTTATTTTTATCAATACCCTTTCGATCAAGCTAGTCGAACACTATAATCTTTTGTGACTTTTTAAATACAAGTCCTATAATACTTTTCAAAGTCATTGCAATGACTAGTTATAATGCACGCAATGTGCAATTAAATTAATGTCCAAGTTGAAAATTAAAATAAGTAAACACTTAGTACAATTTTTAAATATTAAATAATTATTTATATTAAAAATAATTATTTTCAATATAATCAAAATTAGTATTTTTAACTTGTAATAAAAGTAGTAGTAAAGATGAGTATTGTTGTAGATAGTTATAATCGAGAATACAAATGATATTAAAACAAATTAAGTTCTTAATGTGATATTGATGAGCCAGTAAAGCTTAACTTATTTTTTTTTGTTAAAAGTGACATGATTATAATAGACTTACTGATGTTGTCGAATAGTAATTAAAGAGTAGTATACAAATTAATTATAACATATGAATTTATAAATTTTCCTTGTGCGTATGATTGAGACATCAATTGTTGTTATATGTGAACAGTACTATTCATCTTGTAAACTTTTATTGATATTTTGAAATACAGAGTATTATTTTTGTTCTTATAAGATTGATTAGATAATGAAAATGTTGCATTTAAATTCATAAAATAGGGAGTAACTTTGTGTCATACATACTTAGATCAGGTTGTAATAAAATATACATTTTAATTAAAATAATATAAATTTAAAATAGAAAATTAAAATTCGTGTTACAGCAAATAAGATTTGATTTAAGTAAAGAAAAGATAATTTTTTTTTGAAAGTAAAGAAAAGATAATTTATTGTTAGAATAATTATAGTATGAAATTCATATTATTTTATAATGAAGATTCATAAAATTAGCTTTCATTTTTTTTTTTTAATGTATACTTGAAAGAAATAAATCAAATGAAGTAATTATTATTATGTTTTAACTCTTACCACAAAGAATAAAACAGTCAAAAAAAAAATAAAAATTAAAAATTGACACGGGTTCCATTATGTGTACACTAATTCAATTGTTATAATCTACAAAGCTAATAAGATCCAATAAAGTTAGTTCCCTAACGGGAACTAAAAAAATGTTGGTGTACGTGGAGGCAAATTATGCTCTGCAACCGTGTGCACCATGCGTGCACACGGTTGCAAAAACGGCGTCATTTTACTTTAAAAAAAAAAATCATTTTCGATTGCCGTTAGTTACGTAAACATATGTTCATAATTTTATAATTTCACATTCTGAATGTATAATTATGAAGTTATGGATGTGTAGTTATGCAATTCTGAATGTATAGTTATGAAATTATGGATGTGTAGTTATGCATGCAATTCTGAATGTATAGTTATGAAGTTATAATTTCACATTCTGCATGTATAGTTATAAAGTTATGGATGTGTAGTTATGCAATTCTGAATGTATAGTTATGAAGTTATAGATGTATATAGTTCAAATTATGCACAAAATAACGCCGTTATCGACAATCAAAACTGATTTTTTTTTTTTTTTAAGTTGCACGTCAAAACGACGTCATTTTTGTGGTGCACACGATTGCACAACATAATGCTCCAAAAGTGGATTAGCAATCATACAAGTATTGAAGACATTAAGAATTACCAAACCCATTAAGAAGGCGTATCTATCTGCTGCAACCAACCAACATTTGATTTATTGATTCACCCAACTTTTAAAGCACCATCGCTTCTATAAGTCTATATATCCTAAAAATTTCATGAAGAAAGTAAATTGTGAAATATATTTCAATTGGTTCATAAACTTTAATAGGACGTTTGGTTGGGAGGAAGGGAATTAAGAAGTAAATGTTGCAGCAGCAGCAAGGGGTAATTTGGTCATTTTTTCCCTTTCCAAGATGGCATCAAATTAGAATTCTCATAGGAAAGTGTATGAATTGCAATTTTTCAAATACAGGGAATTGCAATTTCCTCCCACCGAACACTATAATTTAAAATATCAAGAAATTATGTTGTAAACGGATTATAATTACATCCAACCAAACATTATGTAAATTCTTCTACTCTAATACCTTACTTTTTAATTTTTGGTAAGAACCAAACATTACCTCCCTTGACTATTTTGTACACCCTAATTTATTTTGGATTAGATTTATTAATTACTAATTATAATCATCTAATTGTGGAGAATATGACAAATGAAAATGAAATGTGGCACTAAAAGACTCATTATTTAATTCCACTCATTAGTGACGGCCTTACCCGCACGGCCGCACGTCACATTAGGCTATTTCTAGAACTTCTGAAATTTCCTATTAATAAATCCTTGATTATATAACAATGGAGTCACACCTGTGTAAAATAATCTTGCGGATCATAATTTATGAGTGGGACTGGATTGGATCTAGGATATATAGTTATTTGTTACTTATGATAAAAGTCATAATGCTTATTACATAAAATTTAATATCAATTTAAAATAAATAAATTATTATAGTTGATGAAAAGTAAGTTCTCTATTATATTACTCTTATTAAATTAAATAAATTAGTAGTTACAACCAAAAATAATATGTATGCATTTATTTAAGTTAGAATTAGGTGTCTACAATAATGTCTTTATTCAAAAAAAAATAAAATAAATTATATTTATTATCAATAAATTAAATAAGAGAAATAATTTCATTAGTTATATTGTTTTTATTTTCTCTAATGCAAAGATCCCTTACATTCAAATTTATTAATTGATTATATTCACTACATTGTTCATTGTCTTTTTTTTTTTTTTTTTTTTTACACTATCTTGTAATTAAATAGAAAAGTTATCAGACCATTAAATTAATGTTTTATATTTATTTACCAAGTATTTTATTAATACCATGGAAAAAATAAAAAATACTTTGAAGCCGAACATATTAACTACTTGGGGAAGAATTGTTGACAAAGAGAGTATTAAAAAATATAATAAATTGAAGCAGGAGACTACCACGTAATAACTTTAGACTACATACATCATAGTTGTTCACTTTAAATGTGAATTCTATTTCTTTATTAAGATGATTTAAAATGTTTGAATTTTTACTACCTTATATAATCATATTCCTTAAACTAGGAATTTCTCTATCCACAAAAACTCATTCATAATGATTGAACCGGCCAAATGAACCTCGAGCAGAACACCTAAAAGACTAATATGCTTTTATGTTGAAAATAATATGTAAATGTTAATTAGATCATTATCTTACATAACTACATTTAAAATTCATTATTAAAAATGTCAATGTAGGGCAATAGAACATCGTGACATGTCACTTGACGCAATGAAAAGATGCCTAGACTACAAGAATACTGCAATTAATTTGACAATTATAGAAAGTGAAGAAATTTTAAAAATAACCACCCTTACTGCATTCATTGATCCTGTATATAAAATACTTACAGGGCGTTTGGTTGAAGGGAATTTAAATTCCCTTCCCACTTAATTTCAAAGGCCACAAAATTCTCTTGTTTGGTTGAAAGGAATTGCAATTCCATGAAATTGCAATTTTTCTATTTTCATGGAATTAAAATCCCATGCCCCCCCAGATTTTAATTTCTGGAATTTTTGGGAAAAAAAAAAGATAGTGATGAGTCAAAATTACCCATTCCTTTTTAACCTAAAATTAATGCCTAACAACAACAATGGACATTTTTTTACTTTATACTACTTATTCCCTTTCAATTCCCATGTATACCAAACGTTGGAATTAGAAGTCCCAGTAATTATATTCCTATAAACCAAACACTGGAATTTAAATTCCCACTTTATTCCCACTAATTCATCTCTTATGAAATTACAATTCCTTTCTCACGTAATTCTCCATCTGCAACCAAACTGCCATGTTATTGTACATTCATTAGAGAACGACTCATAGTAGCAGGCTACTTGCTTTTGAACTGATGTGAATGCACCAAATCAATTAGTGTTGCATAGGAAACACACCACATGGGCATGTACCATTAAAGAACAAAGGACACCAAACAATTGAAACAAAACATTTACTCAAGCCAAAATATAAAACACACCCATCCACCCTACATCAAACTTAGTAACGAACAACTCACGGATTTTGTTTGGAAAAAAAGAAAAAGAAAAAAAGAAGAGCAACAGTACTTAAACCACATTGAACAACCACAGACCTGTGAGTGCACATGATTCCTTCATTCAATGCACCAATCTACACTTGTGATGCACATGATCCAAACCAACAACGCACAAAAAGTACCACATTGATGCACAGCACCGACAACGCTGATGCACAAGACCTGCGCTCACGATGCAGTGCCAAGTAAGAATTAATCCATGAAGACGACGAAAGCTCAACGACGGAAATCACAGCACAATGGCCACAGAGAATAATGGCGACGAAAATACAAAATGAGAATAATGAAAATTTCCGAAAAAAAAACCTATAATTACGTATCATAACGCGCAAGGAACCTACATGCAAGGAAAGAACGAATCAAAAGACACTATTTGTCCCTTACCATACTAAATACAACAATGTAAAAAAAATAAAAACACTAAAAACTAAAAAAAATATTATAGACATCCTAATTATGACCGCAGGTTCTCACCTAAGACATGGCTCTCATTTGAACGCAACTCTCTCTCTCTCTCTCTCTCTCTCTCTCTCTCTCTCTCTCTCTCTCTCTCTCTCTCTCTCTCTCTCTATATATATATATATATATATATATATATATATATATAACAAATTGTTCAATTTGTGTTTTGTGTGACCCGTCAAAAAGTAACTAACGTACCCAAAACTATGCATCTGAGGGGTTATATATAAATAATAAATGTTGTCTAATTATTAATTTAGACTTTTAATTGAGATGAAATGTATTTAATTTTTGTGCATACATACGTTCGATCTCAACCTAATGAAACACAAAAAATCAATGCCTTCACTAGAGTTTGATCTGTAACCTCTCACCCATTTGAAAGAATCGCAGAAATGCCATTAAGTTACAAGGTAGTTCGCTAGAATATATGTAATTGTTTGATAAGAATGTGCAAGGGGAATGCATGCCATACAGAATCACTGTCACTGCAAACGTGGGTTAAGAATCATGTAAGGATTGAAGGCATTAATAAGAGTTACCAAACCCATTATATTTGTGAGGTTAAGGAAGGCGCATGTGCTGCAACCAACCAACTAATATTTGGTTTATTGATTATGGTTATTCTTTCCCCAACCCTAAGGACCCCCACACACCCCGGTCTGACAAAGTATCTGTGAAGATGTAATCGTGGTAACTCAACTGAACATGAACCACAGAGGCTAGACCTTTGTTCACTACGCACGAGGAGCCCCCCTCACTTTGAGAGGTTGCTCTCAAACTGCCGCTGGTGAGACTCGATCCCTGATTATTCTTTCCAAACTTCACCTTTATGACTGATTGAGCTATCCATGCGGGCTTCTTCCCAACGAACTCAGCTAGTAACACCTTTAGTTAGGCATGACCACGGTTCCGGTTCCGGTTGGAACCGCCGGTTCTAACCGGTATTATTTAATTTTTTTTTTTTTTGTAAATTGTAAGTTGAATAAATTGTAAGTTTGTAAGTAGTGTTAAGCCGTAAGTTGAGTAAAATTTTTATTTTTTTTTAAGATGACAATTGTAACTTGTAAGTTTAAGTGGAATTTATTCATAGCAAAATTAAGTAATCTATTTCACGGCTAGCATTAGAGGTCAAATTACTTAATTTCTTCAAGATGCAGCTAGCTTTTTTTTTTTTTTTTTAACGGTTTGGAACCGGAACCGTCGGTTCCGGTTCCAAGATTATAAGAACCTTAACCGGAACCTTATAGGTTCGGGTTAAGAACCGGAACCGAAACCGTACGGACGGTTCCAGTTAGCACAGTTACGATTCCGGTTCGAACCGTATCGAACCGGAACCGTGGTCACCTCTACCTTTAGTGGAGATTTATTGATTATTAATAAATAATAATGATGGAATGGTGGAGATTATGAGAGTGCAATTGGGGCACTAATAAAACTCATAATTTTAATTCCACTTCTTAATCACTCCCTTCCCCACTGCACACTTCACATTCCGCTATTTCTACAACTTCTGCAATTTCCAATTAACAAAACCTTTCTTAATTACATAATATAATAGTGACATTTTGTACATAGTTAGTTCTATTAAATGTATCTTGACTAATGATATCAATTTTTCGTACGTAAAATTGCTGAATGCCTATTATTAGCATGTATGTGAACTCCCTATATACAATTAAAATGTTACTTTATAAAATAAAATAAAATAATTTTATTTTGAAAAAAAAAATTCATATAGGTACATGAATTTGAAATTACTTTTTTTTTTATTATTATAAATCAGCATGTTATTACACATATTTTACCTCCAATAAGAAGTAAAATGACTCAATTTAAAAAGTAGAAGATTATATTTAACTCTTAAGTTATCCGCACTCATGCAATATTCTCCCACTTTCAAAATGTCACATCACAAAATTTAGAGTTATTTATTATTCACTCTTCATCCATGCAATTCTCTCTCATCTTTCAAAAATAACCCTACTATCAAAAAAATTATTTTTTTATCAATAAAGTATTAATAATAATTAAAATAATAAAAAAATAAAAGCGGTCAGAATTGATGTTGCAATTCTGATAGGCAAATTGCAATAAATGCAATTATGCCTCTCAGAATTGCTACATGTAATCACTAAAACAAAAAAAAAAAAAAAAAAACATCAGCTTTGCAATTGGGAAGAAATCACAGCTATGGATGGCCTTATTCCTAAAAAATATAACTAGAATCATCACCTCCAACAAAAATCACAACCGAACTAGTGAGCTTGGTACTATATGAAGTTTGTGCACGGATAACTCAAATATCGAGACATATTTGTTAATAATTAACGAGTACAGTTAGTAAAGAGTTAATGAATGTAACTAATAAACTAGTTCGAGAGTTTTTTCCATTTTTGGTCCCTCGACTTCACTTGTGGTGACAAATGGGATTCACGACTTTTATTCTGGACATAATAGGTGCTCAACTTCAATTTTTTTTCCACGTTTGGCCCCATCCGACCAAGAACCCGGCCAACCCATCGGAATTAGACTCAACCCTTGTTATGTTAAGGGTATTCTAGTCATTTCTAACCCACTGTGACATCAAGCCCCAGAACCTCCTCCTCGACAAGGACGGCAAGCTCAAGATCTCCGATTTCGGCCTCTCCGCGCTGCCGGAGCAGATCCGGAACGGCCTCCTCCACACCGCGTGCGGTACTCCGGCCTACACCGCCCCGGAGGTGATGATCAGAAAAGGCTACGACGGCGCCAAGGCCGACGCGTGGTCTTGCGGCGTCATCCTTTTCGCCTTCCTCGCAGGGTACCTCCCATTCGACGACAGCAATATATCAAACATGTACCGTGCAATACGAAGCCGCGCGTTTCAGTTCCCGGATTGGATCACAAAGCCCACCCGGAGCATAATTTTCCGGCTGCTCGATCCCAATCCGGTAACCAGAATGTCCATCGAGGAACTGATGAAGCTCCCGTGTTTGACAGACGAACATCAATTCGGGAACCAAGAGTTCGACAAAGATTGCAAACACTTAACCAAAATGAACGCATTCGATATCATTTCAATATCTCCCGGGTTGGATCTATCAGGGCTATTCCAGGCGGGATTGAACAAGAAAGAAATGAGATTCACCACAAATTCCGAGGTAGGAGAGGTTGAGGAGAAGGTAAAGAAGATCGGGAGTGAAGCAGGGTATAGGGTGGAGAGGGGAAAGGGAGGGGGAATCAGACTGGTAAAAGCAAGAGTAACGTTAATGGTGGAAATTCTTCAAGTGGCGCCGGAGCTATGGCTGGTGGAGATAAAGGTCGTCAATGGAGAAATGGAATTCGAGGACACACAGTGGGTTAGAAATGACTAGAATACCCTTAACATAACAAGGGTTGAGTCTAATTCCGGTGGGTTGGCCGGGTTCTTGGTCGGATGGGACCAAATGTGAAAAAAAAATTGAAGTTGAGCACCTATTATGTCCGGAATAAAAGTCGTGAATCCCATTTGTCACCACAAGTGAAGTCGAGGGACCAAAAGTGGAAAAAACTCACTAGTTCGATCAGTAGTTCAGAGAAACATTAACACACAAAATAGGAAACAAGCGATCTGATAAAAAAAAATAATAAAAAAAGCACAAGAATATGGGACATTTGATAACCCCAGTTTGGAATAACCATTCCTAATCTAGGGGCACCACAAAAATGATTACCCAACTCTTTATTCATAATCAGGAGTTCTACTACATGAATTCTCAAATTCTACTCCTTCATTTGTACTCCCTGATGTGGCAAGCCTGGATTGGTTGTTTACAACATGTGGGTCCACAGAAAAATGTCTACATCAAGAACATGTGAGAGGGAGTATAAGTTGGGAGTATAAAATAGGAGTACACCAAGTATTTTCCACAATAGTGTTTTACCAAACAAGTGATTAGAGCGAAGCACTTCGAACTCAACAGCTACTCCATAGCTTTCCAACACGACGAAGCTTCTTGAAAAGTCAGTGAAAGATCTCCAGATCTTCTAAATTGAATTTCCCCCTCAATTGCAGCTCTTCCGAGTTGTATTCTTGTAGTTAACGGCCGTAATCATTAAGGATCAATTCCAACAATAACTTGATATGAATATGAATTCACCAAGTTGTTCTGTTAAGCTTCATGAATATGCCCTATCAGTATTCCGGAATTTGCAAAGTAATTCTTGAAAATTATCAATCATATCTGGAAGAGAGTCAAGACATTTATAATCGTTCTTCCGGATTAAGTTGTAACTAACTAACTGCCTTGAACTATCTTCTGGACTTGTCTTATCATCCGGGTCCATCAATCTTCATCATCTGCCAGTATCCATTCACTGAACTATGTCTAAGAACTAGTTACAACTAATAAATCAAAGATCTGGTTCAAATTTAAATCGCTATAAATGAAAGATCTTCAGTTTGAGCAATGAAATCCTTTGTTACTCAAAATGATGATTAACTAAACACATACAAGTTCAGCCCTAAACTGAAAATGAAGAAAATAACTAACACATACAAGTTCAGCCCTAAACTGAACCCTATGCACCATCAGATGATCAATCATGCAAAGCAGGTCATGCCAGCCAATTTACAATATCAACCGTTAGTTCACTACCAACAGTATATTTGTGAATGGTAGAAGGGGGGAAAAAAATCCTAAATACTAGTGTGATCACACAGTTACAATTAGGAGCACTCTGGCTGTACTGCACCAGTAGATTCTATCGTGTTGTCTTCGTTAGAGCTTCCACGGACTTCGGGTAATCTGTGCACATCAACCTTAGGCCCCAGTGCCACGGAGCTTGCTCGCGAGTCCTCCTCCCCGTCGCTTGTGCTCAAACCGGAACTCCCCCCCACTTTACTATCAGAGAACGAAAAAGAAGAGTTGCAAATCATCAAGGTTGGGCCATTGCTGGGACTAACGAGATCTCTGCACAAGATTCCTTCGAGCTGTTTCCGGAACCCATTCTTTGCGCTCTCATTCTCGTCCAATTGTCGCAAGAAGCAGTCTTCTATCTCGCTCAATGACTCGACTTCGTCCCGGTCTTCGCTGCTGTAGCCATAGTGGGGTTGCTCATCATCGTCTGCTGATCCACAGCTACTCTCGACTTCTTGTTGAGTGTCACAGTCCTGATCAGTTTGCCCCCCGTCAGATGAATGAGATGACATGGGCGAGTATCCTCCCAATGCCTCCACACGTTCTCGTAGGGTTTTCGTTATCAGGGTCTTCAGCAAATTCATCACTTGGACAGCGTGCATTAGGGCGGTCAGTGGATCAGACATCTGGCCACAACAAGAAGTCAATTGTCCTGTTCCATACAGTTCTACTACATGGACTCCCAAATCTTACACCCTAAATTTTACTCCCAGATGTGGCGGGGACTGATAGGCTACTTTTTTCATGTGGGTCCCAATACAAGTGTCTACATCAAGATTTTGTGTGTGGGAGTAAAAGTTGGGAGTAGAAAATAGGAGTACATGTAGTATTTTCCTGTTCCATAATGTAAACAAGTTTTATGAACAATGGAATCATTCACCAACATACCTGAGTCATATTTGGAGCAAAAACCATAGCGATATTTCGGGCATTCATTTTGTTGAATTCCTCTTGCTCAACTACGTCAGCCATTAGATCGATTGCCCAATTGAGCAATGCAGTTTCAGTTGGTTTTAATTGTTTCACTAGCTCAACAAACTGCTCCTCCGTATTGCATTGCAAAACCTGCTCGGGAGAAAGTCCATCTAGCACACCTGATGGGAGCTCACGAAACCAGGCTTTGATAAGACCCGCTAAACAATGTACATCAATGTCAACAGGCACAATGCCTCTATTTAGTTGGTCCCTTACATGCTCCTCCTGGCTATTCTCCGGGTTTATTCTGAAAATGCCTTCTGCCTATACAATTCATCCAGGAAGTTTGTATCAGTAATCTTTCACATTCTACCTTTTGTTCTACAAGTACTCCTATGCAATATATGTTTTAAGAAAAATAGTTTCAATTCTAATGAAGATTATACAAACATTCCACTTACCTTCAGACCATCTTGCGTATACAAACGTTCTTGCATCAACAAGAGAATGGTTGGGACACTATTGCCCCTGGTATCATATGAGCACTGCATTGATTCTGCTGAGACACCAAAGACACTCACACTGCAATATTATGTGCAAAAAGATTAGCACGATCAACAAAGATACTGTCACCCTGAAGTTCATTAACAGGACATAAACGCAATTTAATAATTTACTTGATATTAACAAATGTAATCATACTTTTGCAGTCAGCTTTAATAAGTACAAATAAATTCCAATAGCAAAAGTTTCAGAAGCTCAAGAATCAAGAATATGAAAAGTAACCTAAAGCCATTCTAGACTGGGAAGTTTACCTTGGTGTCCTATTCAGAGGGTAGCAAAGCGGTACTTTTTAAGTCTAGTTCTACATACTTCATGACTAAACTAAAAAATCATTAGAATGGTGCCCACTGCCCAGGCATCACCCCTTGATAGGATTATAATTCTTTCATTTCAATTTGTACTATTGTAAATTCATTATTATTTTTAAATAATTATTTTATTTATTTAAAATTAAAGTAATAGATTTATAACCCAGATAAAGTTATATAAATGCTATAACTACTTTGATTAAAGGGTCAAAGTTATGTAAAGCCGAGGTAAAGAGCCCAATGGCATAGTCTTAAGCTTTTTTTTTTTTTTTTTTTTTTTTTTTTTTTTTAAGAAATCCAATTATATTCACGATGAAACTAATTGTAAAAAGCATATAAGGACAATGTTATAAACAGTATGTCTATTATACATTATGGGCAAATAGACCAATGTAATTATGTTTATGATAAAATTAATATATAGGGAGTATTGATAATGTGGTTAACAACATTATGCTTGTTGTTGCATTTTACTTGTATACAAGTGTGATAATTTATAATCCATAAAACTAAAATATGTAAATAATTATATTCTTCTGTGATTATTTTGCAAGCACCCTTTATTATTTCTTTTTCTTCTTCAAATACCATAATTAAGTTGTATAAGAAAATAGTATTATGGTATTTAGTATTTAGTATTAGAAAAATATATATGTTTCATTTAGAATTATTTACTTAATTTGGTTACCCCAACTGGGATTGTCTAAACAACCTATTGCCAAAAAAATAAAATCTTCTATTAATTTAAAAGAAACAAGTGCACCATGGTATATATCTTGATGATCGGCTATTCTATCAGAACACTAGTTTTTTGGAAAAACAATCTCACATTTTTTTTAATCATAAAATTATATATAACAAGTATGCAAATACAGAAATGGAAAAATGAATTTTTGTTTTCCATTTTTTATCTTATTTTCCAAAAATCAACTGGTATTTACTTGGGCATGAGACATGTTAAATCATTTGAAACTATAAATTAAAAACAAAATTTGGGAGCCGTTTTTGTTAATATACACCAAAGGATTACCCATCACTGCCAAATATAAAGTCCTGAAATTCATAACACTTTAGTCTTTACAGTTGTATTATTATATGGAAGATGGGGAAACTACCTTTCCACCACTTGCATAAGTTGCATTGACTCCCAACCAACTGAACTACTTTAATGCAGCAAAGGTTGTCATCTGAGCCATTAATACAACTGAGTAAAGAATACAACTTTCTTCTGGGTGGTTAGATTTTGGATTATGACAGAAAACCAACCATTTCAGGCTTTGTCCCAAAAGGAGAATTCATGAGAAATTCTCTCACCTGGTTGGACTTATGGTAAGATATAACCTCATAATCAGTACAAGTAGTTCTCGAATCTAAAATACTCTTGCAGTTTTATTTAGGTAAATCTTTAGAGTTAATTCCATTTTTAGTCCTAGATTTATATGTGACAATTCACTTTTTAGGCCTTTTTTATTAGAACATCCTTAGTTGATCCTAGTATTATTGTGACATGACCATTTTTAATCCTCCATAAACAAAATCTTCATTAAATACAAAGACATTTCAATCTTTTTATACAAAGTAGGTTGAACCGCTATATTTTTTATGATTATTTTTTTGAAAGAATCCATAATTGAAGACCAAAATACCCTTGTATTTGACGATATTTAAACTGTTTTGTTGATAAAGGACCAAAAAGGTCATACCACCATAATACTAAGACTACAAGGGGATGTTCTTATAAACAGAACTTATAGACTGTCACCTATAAATCAAGGAGTAAAAATGGAATTAACTCTAAATATTTACATCAAAAGTTTTAGGCTTTCTCAGAGGATGATAAATACTATTACTACCTTAGTTTCTCTAATGGCATCTAAATGGAGATACATAAAG